AATGAGTGTGGAGGGAGGTCGCCCAGGGGCCAGCACACTCAGTTCCATCCGGCTGGAACTGTTGAACATTCTGGAAAAGGATCATTTTAATATTTTTTAGACCAAGTTGGAGCAAAAGAGAGAGGAATTTAGACCCAAGTACAGTGGAGGGTGGAACCCAGGGGCAGAGCTGAGTGGTAAAGGCCTTGGCTCTGAGGGCTTCTTGGGGACGTGGGACGCTCCTGTGTTGGCTCGAGGGTCTGAGTGTCTGAGGGACAGCGAGGGCACACAAGCCCCATCGGAAATACCTTGTGAGGGTATGTTTCAAATTAGTCATTGTTTTCCTGCAGTGTGTTCTCACAGTGGGGTCTGAAGATCTTGAACTCACAGAAAGAGAGTAGAACTGTGATGCAGGGGCTGGGGGTGAGGAAATGGGCAGACGTTGGTCAAGGGTAACATTCAGCTACAAGATGATTAATTCCTGGGGATTTACTGGACAGCATGGCAAGTACAATTAACAGGATAGTATTATATCCCTGAAAGTTGTTATGGTTATACATCATTCATGTTATAACCATAACAATGGCAATTACATGAGAGGATGGAAGTGTTGATGAACCTTATTGTGGTAATCACTTCACTATATAGGTGCATCAAACATGTGCATTGCACACCTTAAACTTGAATGCATTCTATATTGAAAATATCTCAATTAATCTGGAAATGAAATAATTGTGTACATCCAAGTAGTTATTAATGTTCTCTAAAGTTTATCAAATTTATAGATGTAAGCTATATGACAATAACAACACAAAATGGTGAGAGTATGGGTGGATGTATCTTAAATGTTGAAATTTTTTATTATTCAAGAATAGATATAGTCCAGCTCGTGTGGCTGAGGGGTTGGGCATCAATCTATGAACCGAGAGGTCAGGGTTCAACTCCCAGTCAGGGCACATGCCTGGGTGACGGGCTTCATCCGCAGTAGGGGACGTGGAGGAAATAGGCGATCAATGACTCTCTCATTGTTGATATTTCTATCGCTCTCTCTCCCTCCCAATTCCTCTCAGAAATAAATAAAAATATTTTTAAAAATGAGAAGAGATATAAATACCAATTGAAGAATTATTACAGGAATAAACAAAATCCCTTACTTGAAACAGGTTCAACAACAGCAACAACAAAAAGAGGAGATCCAGATATAACTGGACTCCAGAGACTCCAACCGACACTAAATAGTAAAATCAATGGTCATGTGATATCACAGAAACGTTCTCATTTATGATTAAATGCTGGGATGTGTTATGACAATAATTCTGAGGTTGGCGTCTATGCATGGGGAGGAGAGCGGCTCCTAACTCTACTGTGTATCAGCACCTACAGATGGGAGACCAGAAGCTCAGGTGGTGACCAGGTAACTCCTGGGCAAGGGGAGGATAAGGTGCCAACTTCAGTCCCTCTCTGGGCCTGAGAATGGAGAGAGAGGAGCAGGGGGTGGGGGGATGGCTGGGCAGAACAAACAGAGAGAAAGAAAGAGGCGGGAGGGGAACAAGCCAAATGGGAGAAACACAGGCAGAAACAAGGGGGCCGTCAGTGGGTGTGTATTATTGTTTATTTCTGTGTCTTAGGATGTTTTGAGCCATTAAACAGTTTGGAAGCCAAGGAGACACAGGGCCTCCCAGGGCCGGTCAATTCTCAGAGACAGCAAAGAATTTCAGATGCAACCGACGCATCCTGAGCCCATATTCCCAGCCTCCTCACCTGCCCCAAATCACCCTGGACCTGGGACCAGGCACATAGAGACCACGCCAACAGGCCCATCCCCCACACTGACACACACCAGCTGGTCCTGCACTGCTCACCCTGCCCTGCCTTGCGTTTCCCATGGAAACCCAAATCAAGGCCTTCACTAGGCTGCCCTGCACCTGCATCTGCATCCTGAGGAAATCTGGGGCTTTCTCAGGCATAGCAGCCCCTCCTCTCAGAAGGTAAAAGGAGTAAAATCTTCTATCCATGGCATTGACTCTCCTTGGCGTCACTCAGTCACTTCCGCAAATTGAAATCCCAGGGGTACATTTGAGGCAGGTGACTCAAGAGCTTCCAGGGTGGGAGAGAAACCAAGATGGTGGCATAGGTAAACACTGGAAATTGCTGCCTCCCACAACCACTTCAAAAATACAACTAAAAGACAAAAGAGACATAGCCCAGAACCACAGGAAGCCTGAGTGAGTGGAAATTCTACATCTAGAGGGATAGAGAAAAGCACACTGAGACTCAGAGGAGGTGCAGAAGTAAAGTGCAGAGGTACGGAGGCGCACGTGGAAAAGGCTGGCACCTGAGGACGTGGTTGTCTTTTTCAATCGTGAGGGAGGCACAAGCTCCCCACGGCCCTGATTCCAGTTCCTGGTGAATCTCTGGGGACCCACACTCATACGGGGAGAAATTGGACTGTCTGCCATCGGTGTGAATTCGAGTGCAGCTTTCTCTCAGAGGTGCTTGTAGCAATTACCGGGACACTGAGACCCGGGGCCTCTTAGGGCAGGGCTAAGGATCAGCCATAGCTGTTTGCTCCACCCTGTTGATTCCCTGAGACCCAGCCCCACCCAAGCTGTGTGCAGAGGTTTTGCATATGAATGGCCTGGCCCTTACAATCTAAAATTACCTAACAAACTGTAGCTGGGTCAGAGCGACTCAGA